ACTAGTTCATTGCCTTTGCCCTAATGTGTGGAGTTTTGTGAATTCTTACTAGAATGCCATAAGCTGCTGGGCTATTGTAACTCACAACTAGTTTAGTCTTTTGCCATCTATGCTATGATCCAGATAAGTCTTGCAATGAAATGTTTTCAGCGCTGTGCTTTATATTCTAGGCTCAATGTCTTCTGACACTCTTAGGGTTTCCAGCAACTGGTAAAGTACAATTGTTATTTTAAAAATCCACCATTTGTATACAAAGCAACTGTAGTATTTTCAAAAGTCAAGTAAGTTTAAATCTTAATTCAGAATCATCAATGCTAGACGAAATTGCAACTCCATGGAGGCGTAATGTTTACCTCCCCTTATGTGTTCATGTCCTAAAGCCACATGTTAACTTTTCATTGGTTTTGTGCCTTCTAATGGACCTAGATAACAATTTCATGTAGCTCAGAAAGTTTCATGTGTTCTATAATATTCATTGAGTTTAACTGTTTCAAAACTTGAGCTTTAAATGAGTTAATTTAAACCTATGAATCTAGTTTATAGTCAAACTGCTCAAGTCAATGTTTACTCTGACTGTGTTTCTCATCTAAATTCTAAATCTCAAGTATTCAAACTGGTGCTTCCACCAAGCCCATTACATATTAGGTTGGGAGAGATTATAATTGTCTTTGTTTTGTCATCTAGACTTCAACAAGAAGGAACACCCAGAGTTCAAACAACCTGCCAGGCACCTCTGATGACTTCTGCCAGGCGTCTTTGATGACTTCTACGTTCCACTGGGGACCCTTAGACCGACCCCCAGAGGAATACCCAACTGCTGCCTTTGAACTTCGTCCCATGTCAGCAGGAAGCAGCCAGAGCGGTCACCGTCCCATTTCCCCCTAACAGCAGTTAGGGTTACTTCTTCTGGGGGGCGGAATGAGAGAGGAGTTAGAGTGGGTAGTAGGCAGTTAGGGTATTCTGGGTCCCCCAAGTAAAAGAGAATTTCCCCACCATGTCTTGAACTCACCAGGGCACGTCTCTTCCAAGGGACAGGGGTGCTATTAGCATATCAATTCCCCACCTGAAGTATCGGCCATCCCCTCTGGCCATTGTGGGAGGGCCTCAGGCCGATCTCTTTATCATTGAAAGGAGAGCAGGAAGAAGTAATACACATCTGCCTAAGGCCTGGAATGTCCTATGTCTGGTATCTCTGTGACCTTTTGTCCCAAGGCCAGGTACCTTGGAAATCAGGAATTTTCTTTGTTTATGGAGAAACATCTTTGAGGGAAACCTTTAAAAGGTGTATTCCCCACCATTAATACGGGTTTTTCTTCTTTGCCTCCTGCCACTATGGCAGAGCACTAGGGTTCTCATTTTCCTCCTGCCACTATGGCAGAGTACTAGGGTTTTGGCTTCTTGTCCTCCTGCCACTATGGCAGGAGGTAAGGGTCCTTTCTATCTCAAAACCCCCTCCCGTCACTAGGATGGGAGTCTTCTCTTCTCAGCTTTTCTAATAAATCTTGCGTTAAAACTAAACTGTGTCCGCATGAAAATTCTTCTTTCCTGCGAGACAAGAATTTGAGGTTGCTGCCATACTTGGAGTCAAAATTCCTGCAACAAAAGGACCCTTACCCCCTGCCACAGTGGCAGGAGGAAGAGTAAAAAAGACCTTAGTGCTCTGCCATAGTGGCAGGAGGAAAATGAGAACCCTAGGCCTCTGCCATAGTGGCAGGAGGACAAGAAGCAAAACCCTAGTCTTCTGCCATAGTGGCAGGAGGACAAGAATAACCCTAGTACTCTGCCATAGTGGCAGGAGGAAAATAGGAACCTGTATCAATGGTGGGGAATGCACCTTTTAAAGGTTTCCCTCAAAGATGTTTCTCCATAAACAAGTTAAATTCCTGATTTCCCTGGTACCTGGCCTTGGGACAAAAGGTCACAGAGATACCAGACATAGGACATTCCAGACCTTAGGCAGATGTGTATTACTTCTTCCTGCTCTCCTTTCAATGATAAAGAGATCGGCCTGAGGCCCTCCCACAATGGCTGGAGGTAATGGCCGCTACTTCAGGTGGGGAATTGATATGCTAATAGCACCCCTGTCCCTTAGAAGAGACGTGCTCTGGTGAATCCAAGACATGGTGGGGAAATTCTCTTTTTACTCGGGGGACCCATAACACCCTAACTGCCTACTACCCACTCTAACTCCTCTCTCACCAGGAGGCGGAGTTACCGAGGGATTCCCGGGACCATCTGAGGCAGGCTGAGTCCAGGGAGCCAAAATCTCCCTCCACCTGTCTCAGACACCAGTTGTGCTTGTCGGTCTTCAAATTCCCACAAGCAAGACAAAGCCCTCCATTCCACAACTAATGGGAAGACTTTAAAAAGTGGATAACCCCATGCAGGAGAATTCAATAATGTTTATATTTCAGTCTTGAGTAACATGTTGTTTAAGTTCCACTCCCAGAACTGATTTGAACATGAAGAATTCCAAGCAGGCACCAAGTTGGGAAGAAAGGGTTCCAGGAGGTGGAAGCAGCTCCTCACTCGTCAAGTTTGTCTGAACGTGACCCTGGTAGCAACTAATCTAGATGAATCCAATATTTATCTGTCTAATAATCCATTCAAATCAAAGGCTAATATAGATGTTCTGACAAAGTATCAGTACTCACCACCATGGGCAAATTTTGGCAGGTGCCTCTGGGGGTCAGCATGCAGCAGCTCCGCGACTTTTAACAGGGTTGTGCCGAGATAAATCCATTGGCGGGTGAAAAAATAGCATGAACTGAAAAGGCTTTTCATACATCAAACTCAGTCAACACTGTGGTTTAGCAACACAGCACACTGCAGTGTGGGCTGCTCAGCTCCCACCAGGGGCTGCCTGGGAGCCACAGCAGCACAGCGTTAGCACACAGTGTCATACCAGATAACACAGCACAGGAGAAGGAAAAGGACAAAGTTCAGAATCAAACACTTGTGTACAGCTTCTCATCAGCGTAAAGCTAAAGGTCAACTAGCTAAACAGAAGTCACAGTGCTGCATGTTGGGGACTGTGTACACCTGTTTTTTACTTGGTAACCCACCAAAAGTTTTGTTTTTGTTTTTAAAGATTTATTTTATTTTCATTGGAAAGACAGATATACAGATAGGAAGAGAGACAGACAGGAAGATCTTCCGTCTGACGATTCACCCCCAACATGACCACAACAGCTGGTGCTGTGCTGATCTGAAGTCAAGAGCCAGGAACTTCCTCCAGGTCTCCCACGTGGATGCAGGGTCCCAAGGCTTTGGGCTGTCCCTGACTGTTTTCCCAGGCCACAAGTAGGGAGCTGGATGGGAAGCAGAGCTGCCAGGATCAGAACCAGCAGCCGTATGCGATCCTGGCATGTTCAAGGCAAAGACTTTAGCTCCTAGGCCATGGTGCCGTGCCGGGCCCCCACCAAAAATTTTTTTCATATTTATTACCATTAAGGCAGGTTTCCCTTCCAATTACTTTAGCTGCAGCAAGAACTAAAGGCAAATCATCTTGAAGAGTTATGAAAAATGACTGATGAGTAGAAAACAAATGTGAAATATATTTATAAAAATATATACACACACACACATACAGTGGAATACTGGTCTTAAAAAGAAAATAAATATAAGCTACAATGTGGATAAGCCTTGAAAATTTTAAGCCACGTGAATTAAGACAGATATAAAAGGACAAATAGTATACGATCCCAGTTAAATATCTGAGAAAGTCAAATTCTTGAAGACAGAAAGTAGGCTGATGGTTCCTGCAGGCTGGGAAGAGGGAGCAGGTGGAGTTACGGCCAGTGTCACAGGGCTTCTGTTTGCAATGATGGAAAAATTGTGGAGCTGTAAAGCAGGTGAATGCTCCCAAAACAATGTCTTAATGTCACTGGATTTCACAACTTTGACCACCAAACTTTGTGAAGAATAGAGTAAGAGTCGAGAGTCAGTAGACTCGACCTCCCAAGTGAAGAAATACACAGGCTGAGCATCCCTAACCTCAAAACCTGAAATTGGAAAGGACCTAAAATTCAAAATCCGGAGCACCTACACAATGGCACAAGTGGGAAATTCCACATCTGACCTCATGTGATAGGCCACTGTCAAGGCACAGGTGCACTGAGAGTGTCGTACAGTGTGTGTACACGGAGTTTAAATTGGGGTCCCGTTCCCAAGATGACCTCATTATCAATGCATGGATATTGCAACATCTGACACCACAAACCCTCTGATCCCAAGCAATTTGAATATGAGTCACTAAGCCTGAATGTATCTAGGACAGTTTAAGAGTGAACTAACGGGAAAAGGGAGGTAAGAGATTCCTCTCAGGAAGGAGGGAATGATTTGAGCATCTCTCAACTTACACAGTGAAGTCAGATTTCAAGACAGATGGTTATACAGCTAGCCCACTGCAGCAGGAACTGTAACTTTTTTTTTTTAAAGATTTACTTATTGGGAAGGCAGATTTACAGAGAGAAGAAGAGACAGTGAGAAAGATCTGTCTGCTGGTTCACTCCCCAAGAGGCTGCAATGGCTGGAACTGAGCCAGTCCGAAGCCAGGAACCAGAAGCTTCTCCTGGATCTTTCACATGGGTGCAGGATCCTAAGGCTCTGGGCTGTCCTTGACTGCTTTCCCAGGCCACAAGCAGGGCACTGGATGGGAAGTGGAGCAGCTGGGATTCAAACTAGTGCCCACCTTGGAACCTGGCAGTTACAAGGCAGGGATTTAGCCACTAGGCTACTTGGCCGGGCCTGACTACAGCTTTTGATTGCCTACTTACTGAAGCAGTTGCGACTGCCCCTTAGGGACTTCAGAGAGGGGCTGTATTTTAAATAACTACTAGGCGCAAATACTACCGCTGCCAGGAGCCTCAGTGATCCTCTGTAGCCCCAACTCCCTTAAAGTACCTGTCCCCAAGTATTTATTTCATAACTACCGAACAATGGTAGCAGTTTGATATGGTCATCTTAAAAGAGTGCAATGAAGACACTTCCAAAAGTTCAAAGAAAATGAAGACAAAAGATGAGTTTATTTTGGTACAAGTTTTTTTAAAATGTACCCACAGTTTCTTATAATGTGCATTTTCCATGAACTTTACGAAGACTTCTCCAGTGTCACAGTGGAATGAAATATTATGTCAAAACCCTAATACAAACATAAGCGATTATGCCAAACAAAAACATGACAAAAAAGGTTTGGCCGTCTCCCTGGATGGCATCACTTATTTCCTGGCATCTGCTTTCTTGGCGAGCTGCAGGCAGTTTTCGCCACGGCCATAGGATGTTCTGATTCACCATTTTCTTCTCGGTCACTTTGGAAAGAATAGGGATTGGGACTTTGCAGACTATCAAATCCCCCAAGTCTTATAAGGACACAAGGGATGAGCAACATAAGCTATTGTTGCAAAGGAGCTTGGGTCTGCGAGAAAAATATACGAGAACACAACAGTGGGTTGTTTCTTTGAGTGATTGTTTTTACCTCTAAAACCTGTCCAGTTTTGGACAGATGCGTTGTGCGGGAGGAAAGCTAAAGGAAGGCATTCAGAGTCTCACAGATCTTCTCTGGCAGGCCATTTTCTGCTAACCGACCACATCTGACAGATGATCCAATAAGTTCTTAATTGCCCAAGAAATTTCATCTTGTATTCTACCACTCTGAGTATCATTTGCACCTGTGATATGCAGAGAGCAGTCAAGAACCACATCTTGTATTTTTAAGAACCCATACTTAAAAATTAAGATTTGTGCTTATGTAATTATGGTGATAATTCAGAAACCAAACTGGTATTTATAAACACTAGTATTTCATAGAACGACTTAAAGGAAGAGACCCTTTCCAACTTCTTTATAAACTGAGGAACATATAATTGCTTTAAGAAGAACTAAGTTACTTTTACTAATTGCATTCCAGAACTTTGTCAAAAGGAAAAATCTTTTGCAATCTTGAGACTTATACCTCCCCAAATCTTAGATGCATGGCTTTCAAAAATTATTTTTGTAATCCACAACATGTGAAACCTTCTGGCTGACAAAAGGCCAATGCGTACATTCTTCCCAAGGGTGGAATGAACTTTCCTGTGTTCATGCAGCTGAGTTCTGCAGTGCTCACCACACTGAGAAGCAAGGAATCATTCATTTTCATCATCCATGTTGTAGACAAACAGGAAGTGAGAAGATCCCATGAAGGTCATTACTGTAGATTCCATATTCTGATCAAAGTTTAAAAACACAAACGTTTGTATCTTAGGTGGCAGGTGTCCTTCTTGGCTGTAACAGCATCTTCAAAGACTTTTCAGTTTATCTTTATCTGGCTCTTTTTGACTGCAAAGTGCAAAAGACTCCCGCACAAACTGCCTGCACATTGGGCACTGCTGAAAATAGCGCACGCAGCCATCGCACAGGCACGTGTGCCTGCAGGGCAGCAGCACCCAGTTCACGGCCCCGTTCTGGCACACGACGCAGTCCTTGCTGCTCTCCTCCCATGGCTCCCCTTCGCTTTCCGACAGTCCTGCCCTTTCCAGCAAACTCCGGTCGGTGTTTTCGTCTTCTGGGGAGGGGCGGCTGGAGGGAGTGCAATTATTATTGGCAGACATGAAAAGTTGCTGAAAATCAAAGAATAGAGGTTGAAGGATAAATGACCACGACCCTTTCAATCAAGGGGTCCTAGCAGCATTTGTGAGTTATTACAGCCAAGAGCAAGAAGAAGCTCACACCTATGGCCGCTCACAGCAAAAAAGCACATCGCCTCTACGTGGCTAGTCTTGAAGTTGTGAACAAATGGACAGAGGTAAGAGACCCCAGGGCATGACTTACCTTAAGATCATGAAATTGACCTTGAGCCAGGAGTACATACTGATACAATATTCTGCAGGAAAGTTTGTAAGTCTTATCAGGAATATGAATTACTGACACCATGGAAATCTAAAATTAAAAAAAAAAATTGAAGAGCAGTCAGTACTTAACCTCCTTATGTTATTTTACAAAGATGAGGCAAACGCTTCTCAAGTAAATATAAAAGTTAAATTAGAAACTTTGGTCTAAATAAGCACAGTCATTGAAAAGGATTCAATTACATATTTTAATCATTCAAATTTAAAGATTTTAAATGATCTCAGTAAAAATATCAATGCACATTTTTTAAAGATTTATTTATTTATTTGTATTGCAAAGTACGATATATAGAGAGAGGAGGAGACACAGAGAGGAAGATCTTTCATCCAGTGATTCACTCCCCAAGTGACCGCAACAGCTAGAGCTGAGCTAATCCGAAGCCAGGAGCCAGGAGTTTCTTCCGGGTCTCCCATGAGGGTGGAGGGTCCTAAGGCTTTGGTCCGACCTTCACTGCTTCCCAGGCCACAAGCAGGAAGACGGATAGGGAAAGGGGCTGCCAGGATTAGAACCAGTACCCATGTGCGATCCCAGCACAGGCAAGGTGAGGACTTCAGTTGCTAGGCCATCGCACCAAGCCCACCACTGAACTGTTTTATGATGCTGTCTTTATAAACCCAACAGTTTTCCTAAGGAAAAATAAACACTTTAAAACAGCCAGGAAAATCCTGAGCAGAGAGCTATGGGAGGACACGAATGCAGTCAAATAAGAAAACACAGTACTAAACTTCTCAACTGCAGTGTGCGATACCGGTATACGGAAAGACAGATGATTGGAACGGAATGAACAATCCAGACCCACGCCAAATTATGTATAAAATAAGAGCAAAGTGCTATCTCATTTCAATTGACAAAACATCTTTTTAACAGACACTATTGGTTGAGGAAGGGTCTGTGGCAGAGTGAGTTAAACTGCCACTCAGGACGCTGGCATTCCCTACTGGAGTGCCAGTTTGAGTCCTGGCTACTTCCTTTCAATCCAGTTTTCTGCTAGCATAACTGGGGGTGACAAATCGTTGATGGATCAGGTCCTCGGGTCCCTACCCATGCAGGAGATCAGACAAAGTTTCTGGCTCCTGACTTTGGAATGACCCGACCCCAGCTGTTGCAGTCAGCTGCGGAGTGAACCAGTGGATGGAAAATCATTGTCTCTCCAATATACAAATAACTGGGACAACGAGAGAGCTATTTGGAAAAAGTTAAAAGTAGACACATTACTCATCATATGTAAGTGCTAAGAACATATGGTATCTAAATGTAGAAAATAAACCTGTACAAGTAGTTGAAGAAAATGGGTAAATTCCTTTTTAGTAGCAGTATAGGGAATGACTTAAAGCCATAAATTAGATAACTTTGATATGCTGAGCTATGTAAAAAAAAATTAAAACCTTCATGACAAAAAGAAGAATTATAACAAAGTCAAAACATGACAAAGTGGACTGTAATATTCATATCCACTGATTGTGGTTTAATATTCCTTAATAGGAAAAGTTTAAAAATTAAGGAAAAAAATGACCAAAAGCCTGTAGAAAACTGGGAAAAGTAGGTGAGTGGACAATTCACAAGAGAGAAATACAGTCCTTAGCCATATTAAAAGGCATTCAACTACATCTTCAATGTTTCTTTTTCACCAAACTGACAGAAATTCAAAAGCTTGTCAGTATATTCTGTGGAAAAACTGTCCATCTCATATGTTGGTGGAAATGTTAAGAAAAACATACAAAGGTACAGCCCAAATGGAGAGGAACTTGGCAATATCTAGTCAAATGACATTCATTGACACTTCACCCATACAACTCCAACATTAAGATCACACATGGGGGATCTTAACACACAGGTTATTCAGTACAAGATTGCTTGCTACCGAGGAGGATTGCTAGCTACTTGGATCTCCAAGCACACTAGACTGGCAGAATAACTTTCGCGCGCGTGCGCGCACACACACACACACCTCTCATACACAGAACAAAGTAGGGTGCCATTCATAATCCCGAGTGCCACAATCCTGGTTGTTAAAATTCCCAAATTCTGAACTCTCTAAATACCAAAATCTCAAAATCATAACTCTAAAAGACTAACTGAGGGGGCTCTATTGTGGTGTGCGGAGTAAAGCAGCCACCTGCAATGCTGGCATCCCATATGGACACTTACTTGGGTACTAGCTGCTCCACTTTTGATCCAGCTCCCTAATGTGCCTAGGAAAGCAACAGAGGACAGCCCAAGTATTCGGGCACATGGGAGCCTTGGAAGATGCCCCAGTCTTTGGCATTGCCTCGGCTTAGTCCTTGTCATTACAGACATCTGGGCAGAGAACCAGTGCATGGAAGCTCATTCTCTCCCACTCATTTTCCATGACTTTCAAATACATACTTAATAACAAAAATAAACTAAAATGCTAAAAGTAGAAACCTCAAAAATCATGATTTTGGTAGGGAAGGAAGGGTTATGTAAGAAGGCAGAAAACTCAGTCTTCAGGGAGAGATTTGCATGTTTTCAGCTGCACACAAGCTAACCGCCCAGCTTGTCAGTCCCGTGTGCCTCTGTCCCGTCCCACGCAGCATGATGCCTGCCTCTTCCTCAGACAATAAAAACAACTCAACACAGTCCGTGGCCTTCAGACTGAAGACACTTGTTCCTGCAGGGTCACAAAACACACTTATTGGTGAACTACTCTTAGCGAGCTGTCAGAAAAGACAGCCTTCTCGTATGGCCACCAAATCAAGATCTAAGTACAGGCTACACTTTGCTTAATGAATGGCCCCTTCAAAACTGTTTCCCTTGGTTTTTATCAAACACAAGAAATCTTTAGGAAGTTCACTGAAAGTACATATTACGAAAAAAAAAAACTATGCATGGATTCTGAAAAAAAATTTATGCCAAAATAAACGTAATTTCACCTTCTAGGTACTTCTGGGACTGCCTGCATTTCCTACAATTCATGTCCCTGTGGGGGCTGAAAGTTTCTGGAAATTATCCATTTACTTAAGTATTAATGATTCAAAAAAAAATGAAGCACTTTATAAATGCTTATTTAAAGATCTGCTGGACTTGGCAGAAGTAATGAAGTTTCCATTGAATCTTCAAATTGCAATGACAGATTTTGAATTATGTGTAACAAAGGGCTTCTAAAAGCAAATTTTGAAGTGTTACCAATAAGGTTTGTTCCTTCCATTCAGCCCAGTGCCTCTGATGGATTATTCAAATGAGTAGGTTGGCCATATGCTACAACAACAGAGAAACTTCAGCTTAAAAATGTGTCACTTGTCTGCGCTGGTATTCCTTCCAGCTGGTAAAATTCCAGAAGTTCTTAATGAATGAAAGTTGTACTTGTCAGAAGAACCAGCTAAACAATAATGACTGGTAGGATCAGAAATCAAGCGATGGTGCTGTCTGGTCACCAGTCCCAAGTTGGTGTGGTCCATGAGGGCAGGTGGAAGGGCTCTCTGGGAGACTAAAGCACATCACAAAAGATGGGAAGACTTAACAGGGACTGCTCAGACCAGCGGTCGAATTACAGACTTCCAAAATGAGCAGTATCATGTAGAAAATGGATGTGAACAAACTCCCAGGAAAGTCAGGCGCTGAAGGACATTGTGCGGCAAGACTTCAAATCCCCGCCAGCGAAGGGGAACGTCAGCTGGCCTTAAGGGACTGTCCCTTTGCAGCTGCCTACCATCGATCCCTACCATGCACTTTTGTGTATGTTGGATTTTCTTTTGAATATCCACTTTTTCTTTCTGTTCCCCACTCCCCGTTTCATTGTCAGCATTATGTTCTATGAGTCAACACGCCATGTCTACCTTTGCATCATTTAAATACTGGACGTACTAAAGTGTAAATACTTTCAAAGGGTTCTAATTTGTACTGCATATTTTAAAAAACATTTTGCTCCGCAAAAGTAAATTACCAGAACATCAACTTGGTATATAAGTGCTGTACACATGTAAAAATGTTCAAACTTCCTCAATAAAAAAATGCTTGGTACATCTGCAATTTGTAAAAATAAAATATCCACACATCTTAGAGCTCTGGTTGAGTGTGTCTGCAGTGGCAAGTTATCATGTTTGTTCGTTTGTTTTTAAAAGATTTATTTTTATTGCAAAGTCAGATATACAGAGAGGAGGAAGGTCTCCCGTCTGATGATTCACTCCCCAAGTGACCACAATGGCCAGAGATGTGCCAATCTGAAGCCAGGATCCAGAAACTTCTTCAGGTCTCCCACATGGGAGCAGGGAACCAAGGCCTTGGGTCATCCCTGATTGCCTTCCCAGGCCACAAGCAGGGAGCTGGATGGGAAGCAGGGCCTCCAGGATTAGAACCAGTGCCCATATGGGATCCTGGTACATTCAAGGCAAGGACTTTAGGCGTTAGGCAACCACGCTGTGCTCTATTTGTTTTTTTAACATTCATTTTTATCTTAAAGGCAGACTTACAGAGAATAGTAGAGTCAGAGAGAGAGTTCTCTCATCCGCTGGTTCACTCCCCAAGTGGCCACAGAAGCCAGACCTGAGCTGATGGAAGCCAAGAGCCAGGAGCTTTCTCTGGGTCTCCCAAGCAGGCACAGGGGTCCAAGGACTTGAGCCATGCTCTGCTGCCTACCAGGCCACAAGCAGAGAGCTGAATTATAAATATACTTATGTATTTTACACATATACATATATGTTATTATTGCCTATTTTATTGGGTAAAGTGGCCTAGGAAGTGTTTCATTATGTTCCTATGTTTCAAGTAAATCTCTTTCAACAAATGTAAACAAAAGCCTTTTACACATTTTTTCAAAATTATTTTCTAGGATTATTTTTGAGATTTTTGATCTCTCAGGATTTCAACATCTAGGATTCTGATCTCTACAACCGTCTTGCAGGATTACACGCAAACCCAGTGAAGCGCTCCACAGCTGCTGCAGAGACAGAGATGTCTTCAACCTGATCCAAAGGATTTCTAAGAGATATTGTGAAGTGACGTAAGTACAGATGAGTATTTACGAGAATGCAGAGTGCAGCTTGAGTACAGGCTGCTCTGATTTTGATTCA